ACTATAAAAGTACGGCTTGAATTTTGGCCAATAAAAATTAAAACATAATTTATCAATATGCACAAAGTTAACAAATATATTTTAGTGATTTTCAAGACTGACAATGAGTTTCGTGTTGTCAGTATACTCAGCAGGACTTTCATTTACGTTAAAAATCTAACGTTGGGATATAGTTTAATTAATGTCAAATATACAGACACATTTTCCATTAATGATGTAATTCTAAACTACGATTCACAATGATATAGATATCTTCTAAAATTATGAGAAAGAAGAGAAAGACGTAAATAATAATCATTAATGTTACTTTCAATCATACAAAAACAAACATATATATAATTTTTATAATAATTATTAATCATAAAGATACTTTAATAAATTTAAGTCAACGTGATTATTTCCTATTCGGAACTGAATCTCTCACAATCAAACTAAATCACTTTTACAATCAAACATTTACGTATTTAAACTTGTCTAAAGTTTCTTTAGTTACACCTGAATTTCGTATGTATGGACACGTGTCTCTGACCGCCATATGATTTATGTTCGCAACTGTCATATTTGACTGTAACATGTAGCCATTGCTTTTAGAAAACCAACTGTAATAAAATTCGCATTTCTAGAGATAAAACCTTAATTTAATCGCCATTTGTCACAACCTCAATTGAAATTTTGCACTATTGTCCAACATGTAGCTAGAGGGTTTTATATTCCAAAGACATTTTACTTCACAAGAAATAAAATGTTTCTTCTCATGAAGAAAATTCTAACAATATTTTGTTCAAACATAAAATATTTTTAAGTAAGCGAGCCATGCTTTCGATTTAATAATCGATACAATTTAACTATTTTTTGTTTAAGAATGAGAATGTTAGCAAATTATTATTTTGCATTTTTTTATTTTTAAAATTTTTATTTTTACTTACAATTAGATTATTTTTACGTGGTAATTGTCAATGTAAAAAGTAAAAAATAAAAAAGTATTCTTTTTTTTCTGGTGTTCATTTGATTTAAAATCGAATAGAATTTTCACTCGTTGAAATAATGGTAAACGAATAAATGATGAGTATGGAAATATCGTGCAAGGCGCGTTCCCAGCGGAGATTTATTTTATAGTCACATATACGTTGACGAGCTACAGCCTTAATTACGACACGATTACTGTATTTAATTATTCCGTACATAGACGATTAAGTATGGACCCGTTTTCGAACCAGTCGTAAGTGCAAACGTAAGAACGATGAAGTAAAATTAACGGCCATTGAAACATTTTAATTCACATAGATCACCTATCGTTGCATTTGGTCAGAGTTTTGTTGAAGAAATTATTCTTATTTACGCGTGCATAAGAGTATATATTTACATGTACAATTTGTATATGTATTATACAAATAAATGCTGTTGTTTTCGTGTACTTAAAAAGCATTCGCGATTTTCCTCGTATATATTTTCCTATATATACGATAATTATAGATACATAAACAACGATTAAATTAGAAGTCACAATTAACGTCTATGAAACCTGCTTTATTTTTTCCATTTAATAAAAATGATGTAAATTATTTGCTACATTTATGGATAATATAAAAAGTAATAATATTTATCAAAACGTATTAAATACTTGTGCGCACGAATATGCATATTTTCTGTAGCAATGTTAAATATGAGCAGATTCACGCGTTTGCGATGAAATGATTTCGTTAAAACGGGGAAAGTTTATTTACGTATATTCACTCTTTATGTATCTATAATCATGTTGCTCGTTATTTGCGTTTGTGCAAAAAAAAAACAGTCTCTCTCACAAGAGTTGTATTTTAGCTTATATAGCGAAGCTTGTTGATGTGTTGATTTAATTGACGCATTTGTGTTTGTGTATGCCTTTTCTCTCCTCCCATCTCTTATTAGGTATCTATTTTTTTCCTCAATACATTTCGCATGACAGAGTATCGAGATGCGATCGGTCGCATCGTAATCGCAAAAGAATAACACAAGTTGGATCGAAGTTCTTGACGTAAAATATTATACTCGAGACGCGTATAACGTGCATCATATGATATGTTGACGAAATTAAATATATCGTCAACCTAATTATAAAGTTTATAAGGAATGCTTACTTTGTTGTAACGATAACTCTTTTTATAATGCGCGAGCATCAAATGTACTATGATAAATTTCAAAAATTTAAGATTAATCGTCGTGATGTCAAAAAGTTTTATACTGTGGAAGATGTATTAAAACTTACAAAAAAAGCTAATTTAAACTTCGAAAAATGTATATGTTGGCTTTAAAATTCTTTACAATTAGAACAACGATATATTTATGAATGCTTATATGCTTAATAGCATTTGCACGTGTATACCCTCATTTTATTAAACAATTTTTATACGTCAGAATCTCTTACATAATAACTGTGGATGTGAAAGGGTCGTAGGGTAAATATCGCGTATTTTTACTGAGAAAACCCACTCATTGACCCACTTTTGCTCAATTTAACATACTTTGCTCTAACTCATCTAACCATCTCAGTTATTACATCTTACTTGAAATGGAAATTTTTACCTTCTATTCTTGATTTATTCTAGTATTCTATTCGTCTATCTTCCTATAAACTCAGCATGATGAAGAGATTTAATTTTCACCCGATATTAAGCTGAATCCTCACTCTTATGCTTCTGTCGAGCAATACATCATCGTATCTTTTATTCTTTGTTTCACGAACAATAAAAATACAATTTCTTTTAACCTTTAATCATCAAGTCCGGAAAGAAGCACTTTTTATATAGAGGAGTTTCAGCGAAAACATCAGCGTATCTTTAATTGGTTCATTAATTTTTACTTTTTTAATTACAGTATTTTTTAATGAATGATATAACACGAGATGTATTCATTATATATAATTAAAACAATAAATAATAAAAAAAACTTAACAAGTGAAACAAAATAACAATGTCACGCTCGATGATGCAAATATTGATAAAAAAATTGCGTGAGAGAGTAAATATATCTTTGTATATTCGCACGAATATGTGTAGTACGCGTGTAAAAACCTATTTATAATGTCTTCGATGGTCGACATGTTTCACTCAGGACAAATATAATATATAATATATACTGACTTAATCGATCGCATTATACAATTGGCATACGAATTGATAATACACTACTAATAATTACTTAGTACACGCGTCGAAATATGCTTGATTCTTTCTCAGACTCAATGCAAAGCTTTTTTCATTCCAGTATATTTACTTCAATAGACTATATCTTAAATGAGAGCTATAAAATACTACTTAAACGCGATAGCGTGAGATAAATAAAGATATAAAAAGTCATATTTTTTTCGTGCGAAATATAGTCCACTTTGACTATTATCATTTGAATTAGCTATTTCTTTATAGAAAAAAAATATTAATTTAAAAATCTGCAATTTTTAAAAATTTAATTTGAAAAGGGACAAGAAGAAGAATGAAAAGAGATAATGAAAGTTAAGAAATAATATCTCCTATACTTTATACGTTTCCTAGTTGAAGTAATCTTTAATCAGATCCACTTACCTGCAGCCGGCGCTCGATATTCTCGAGAGATAACGAGAAACGATTGGAAGCTTTGATATGTCGACGAGTCGCACAACGAGCGATCGTTGAATTCTAATATACCTCTTACGCAAAATTTTGCACAAGTATTATCCCTTCGCGAAAAAGAGGAAGGTAAAAGGAGAGAGAGAGAGAGAGAGAAAGCATCGAATTACCGGGAGACGCAAAATTTCGATATCACTTCCGTCACTGAGCGAACGGAGGCACACAATTGTCGCAGTCACTGTATCTACTTTTCCCAGACTTGATTCGATGAAGCGGATTTGCGCGTCAGTCCGACCGATACGAGAGTACGTCGTCTTCGTCGTCGTTGTCGTCATCGTCGACATCGACGTCGCTCGATAAGTCGATACCGAGGTACTTTTGCCCCATGGCGGTTTTCCCCTCCGTACGATTTTCTGCTTCGGAACTAAGTAACTTGAAGAGCTACGAGTTCTTCGCGTTTGGGCGAACCGCCACTTTGCTCGGTGACGTTACGCGGTTAAAACTGTAGTCGTAAAATTTCCGTGAATTTTCTTCGACTTCGCGCAATCTTCGAAACGTGGTTCGACGAGTTTTTTGATGTGCCGCGTTTTTCATGGGGGCGGATTAACGTAGAAACTAATGAAACTCGAGCTCAAGAACTTGTAAGTTATCAAGAAGAATCTTGCGGAATAATTTTATTCGGAAATATCCATCAACTTATCAAAACTTGTATATGGTATAAAATAAGATGAAATGTGTTTACCACAGTTGTTCACTTATTCATATACTTGCTGGCAGAATTAGGCGATAAAAACAGGAGAAAATTAATAAACTCCTACGTTGAGACGAATTTAAAAAATCGGAAGATCGATGATTGGCGAGTCTCTCGGATAAATCTCTCGCATCCAATCGCTATTAAAACGATATAGAATTTCTTGACAAACCTTCTCGGGAAAAAAAGATTAATCATGTCGATTCAATCAGATTGCTTGGGTGATTTAGATTTTTTGCATTTAATTATATGTAAAAAAAGAAGCATTATTTTTGTAAGAATGGAATCGGAGATTCTTGTTTTGATACGAATGAAGGTCTTCGTATCGATTTTCTCACTGAACCGCAGCTATGACAGGCTTAAATCGAAACTACAGAGTTTTGTAGACGAAATTCTTCAGAAAATATTCTCTGTTTCTATCCTCCGCTACTGGGGCAAAGACGTGTTCCTTCCAGTATCATTCTTACAAGAAGAAAGTCTTCGGGTAATCTTCTTTCGTCAATGAAAATTTTATTCCGTTTCCTTTCGTTGTTACGAAATACGGTCGAGTCCAAAAACTATGAAACTATGTGAGTAATTTTTGACGTTGCTTTACTCAAAATTCAGGTTAAAAATGAGCGAATTTGATATTAATACTCTAACACATTTTGAAAAATAATCGTTGCAAAAAATTCTCACCATGCATTTAATATTGCTCCAATATTGTTACAAAATATCAATTATACTATCTTCTCTTCCACATCACACAGTCCACAAAATGAATTGGGATATAAATGAATGGAGTCACAATTACATGCGTAGATTCCATTACCCTCGTCAAGCGGCTAATTCCTTCGCGATCGATCCGGATACCCACCTTCTCCGTCACATTCACCGATCTCCTTTGCGAAAAATACGAAGATCTCGGGATCTCGCACGTGTCAGAGGTAAGACCTCGATTATTCACGAAAGATGCCCCCGTCGTCGATCTATCTTTCCTCTCGCGACCTCGTTATTCGTTTTCCCTTTTCCGTCTCTCCGAAGAGAGCTTCCTGTCGCAAATTCTGCCCCCGCGGCCAGCGTCCTCGTTATCGTGGCAAACTTTTAAGATTACGAGCCTCTTCCTCCCGAGTTCTTCCGCCACCGGCAGCAAGACGCATCATCGCTTATTTATCATAGCTCGATGATATCCGGCGCACGAAACTGCACTTTGCTGCAATACTTCACCTCCTGCACGATCTTGTTACTGCCTTCCTCCCTGTCCTCGCTTTGTTCGTCATCGTCGTCATCCACCTCCTCCTGCAGGTCCTCCAGGACCTTATGTCTGTCTAGACGCCAGCCTCCACCTCTGCCGCCGGCCGTCGACTTCTTCTTCTCACGGATTTTATTCTGGCGAACGGATCGCCGTGGTTATTTGTATCTGAAAGTCGACCAGAACGGGAGCACTTTGGAGCGTGAGTGCGCTCTTATCGATCTTGCAAGGGAGTTCGTCGGTTTACGCGTATATAAAAAAAAGTTTATTTTTTTTTATCTCATTTTTAATATAGCTTTCTATATCGCTATGACATAGATCGAGTGGGGAAACAATGTCGAAACTATATATATATATATATATTGTTTCAACAATTATAATTTTAGTATATAGGTAACGGGCGCTATCAACACACACATCATGATTTATTTCGACGAGTCAAACATTTGGCATTTCGTGTGTATCATTCATGTGCGGAATAGAAAACGGGCTAGATCGAGACACAGTTATTTTTGCGAAGTCTTTTAACTCGTATCTTTTGTGATCGCCGCGAATATTTTAATCACGTCGTTATGTTTAACACGCAATGTAAGCTACGAGCGAGATATTTACATTTCGTTGACGATAGGAACATAATTTGTGTCCATATATATATATATATATATATATATATGTGAGCCCTGTACGATACATGCTATTCGTGTTATTCGGCTCTATAAATGTATCGAGTATTGTAATAAGCAAATTGAAACGCGATACCGACGAAATATTTTTCATCGTCATACTCGTCGTAAAATAGTTTTCATCGTCAATTCTACAAAAATTGGGTCAACGTCGCACGTTATTTTCTTTATAAACCATAATTGTATTTTCCAAGAAAAAAAAATCGTATCACGTATCTAATTGTAAGTTATTCTCCCATTTTGAAAATTTTTAGGAAAATTTGTCTTGATTGGAATTGTCGCTTTCTATATCTGCAATTCATAAAAAAGAGAAATTTACGAATTATTTACAAAAACTTATACACGAAAATATAATTCAAGATATAAGTGTTTGTAAATAATGGACGGAAATTTTTTATATATTTTAGAGTTATCGTACTAAAATAGATTGAACGTTATCAACTTCTAATTAAGGTAACTGATCTCTCTTTTGTTTTCTTTCAACAAATCCTATAAACGAGATATTCCGAATACGCCAAAAAAATGACTTACCTTTCTGGTAAAGGGCATTCCAGAATTCTGCAGAAAGCCAGACCGATCGCCACTATTAGTATTACAAATACAACCGCGTACACCACGCACAGATGAATTAAAGAAAAAATATAGAGCGTTTTGTGACACCATCGATTGGGCGCGTACAACGAAACTTCGTATTCCGGCCACATTATATGCAGTATCCAATAATGTCCTGGAACAAAAAAAATAAAAGAGTATACGACACGATGAACGTACGAATCAACAGTTTTGAAATTTGAGCGATAGAATACAAAGGAAAATGCTATCAAGTTTAAACAATATTGGAACTGTATATTGAAAAAAATTTCTTTGAAAGTACGAGTAGACAAATTTTTTTTTTTCCTCGCTCGTTCGTTTTCGCATTCAACCAAAATTTTGCTCTTATTCGATCCAAAAACTTTCGAACTAGAATAACGACCTTATGCCTCGCGGAGTTATACGTGGCATACATATCAAGTGTGCTGGTGATTAAGCAACCTGCAATTACGTCCCGCACTCCGTCCAACTGTCGTGTTTCGTCATACGACACTCGCAAATTGGCGCACTCCATCAAATATAAATGTTGCACAGCGATACCTGGTCACGAACGGTTGGAATCAACATAACACAATGGATTTTGTAAACGCGAAATTTCTTTTTACACGCAGATTCGCATATAATACTTTTAACGCTTTATATTCCTTGTCATTTTACGTGAGCTCGCATTAACAGAAAATAAAAAAAAATCTCAAGCTTTAAGAAAACAAAAATACAATGAATCTATCGATATAACATATTAGATACGAAACAAAAATATCAATTGTATACTGATATGAAAAAAAGAAGATAATTGTATATTTTAATCAAAGATAATGTCGCTCATTTCTGAAACATCTCGATTTATTTTTCATCATACACACAGAAGGTTAAAGCTATCCAACGCAAATTTAAACAAAGCCACTTAACTTAATATTTTTTTTTAAATTTACTCACAATGATAACATGGAACAGAAAACATTGCGTAATTAAGATCAATTTGTAAGGAAAAAAATATAATACACGCTACAATATTGCATAACACAAAAAGATCGCGAGAAAATTATTTTTCAAGCATTGTTTCATTCATTTAAATTATAAAATCCTTATATCGCGCAAAATTTTATTCAAACAATTTTATTTAAAAAACATAGGATAGTGATAAAATTAAATTAACTTGCCAAATAATGTAGAATAATTAATATAGAATAATTAAAGAGGAAAAATAAGTAAAATAAGAAAATTATGTAAAAAATGCACTTTTGGTTTCATTTTACGCAGTAATAATCTAATATTTATTCACGTTTGCATAAAGTAATTATGGAATCGTGCAATCGAATATTATAAAGCACGCGTTTTCGTAATACGGCTTTGCACTTGTTGAATAAATCCTCTGTGGTTTTACCGCTCGAAGAGTTTGAGTGCTGCTGGCACAGTATGTAGAAAACACCACACACATAATTCCGAATAAAATTTCAAATTGCTTACCTAACACGAACCATGCGACCAGGAAGCACGATAAAGCTATGGAGAGTAATTTCATAGGTGAGACTGGTCTGACGCCGGGAACGGATATCACTTCCGGCCTGCGAGAGCGTATCTGCGAATAAAGCGCCCAGAACATGCGCACGGCGCCCAGAACTCCTCCGATCAGCATATAGACAGGAATGTATGGCTCTTTCGGGCAATCCTTAATGAACTGTACACCTGCAACAAGAAACTCAAATATTTAACTACACGCGTTCGCAATTTACGATATAAAAAATCCATACACACGTTCACATAGAAATTCTTTATAATATATATTTATATTTAAATATATGTATATATACATATATGTCTGTGTATGTGTAAAATTATTTCTGATTAAACATTCGATTTTACGTCAAATCGCATATGTATGACGGTATAAAATGTGATAATTGATGACACGACTTTTGTTTCTTCCCGTGAAATTTTTCTCGTTAACGGAGCTCTCTTTTATGACGTTTTCCATTTATATCAGTTTCTTTTACATTTGTGACACGAATATTTCATAGTTTGTACGCCAAGCAGCAATGACATATTACTATAATTTGCTGAATGCTTTCTCTCTCTCTCTCTCTCTCTCTCTCTCTCTCTCTCTCTCTCTCTCTCTCTATATATATATATATATATATATATATATATATATATATATATATATGAACTCATTATTTTTGAAAAGAAAAGAAAACATCTCTTAATCGATATTCTTGCTCATCAATTAAGATCTAACGTATATATGATGCGCGTCATTATTCTGCGCTTTTTGTAACGCCAGCAAGGAATAATTTAGCATTAATTGCGTGTTGCCTGACGTCTATTCTGTATATCACGTCCTGATTCGACGTCCAACTTAGGATAACGTAACATGCAAACACCCTTCTCTACTGTACACTTGAACACGTTGTTATTATGCACATATTGTGCACATATGTAAACTATCAAATTTCTACTGCTACATAATCTCTCCGCGTTATTTTCGTAAAAAATATATTTTGTATATTTTTGCTACATGATAAGAAATCAATACAATTATTATAAATACTTAGACAGTTTTGCAAAGATAATATATAATACTTTTAAAAAAATTACATACATACATATATATATATATATATATATATATAATATACTTATATGTGAGTATATATTATATTTGAAAAAAGAGGCATGTTAAAACAATTATATCATGTCAACTCCGGTTTAAATGCCTTTATTTCGAATGCAACGTTTGTAAATACGAAAGTATGTAACGATCGAATTTCGCATAAGACAAACGATCGGCAATCATGAAATGTCGATTGCTTCCTTTTCTCCTTCCGCAATCCAAGTTAGACAAGGTAATTTTCTTAATGGCATTCTAACACATTGAATCTTCGATGTGCTTCACATTGTTCCTTAAAGCAATTTTTTTTTACGTTATCCTAAGATTTTTAAGTACCTTATCAAATATTTTTATGATCCTTTCATGTTTTTATGTCATAATTCATGAAATGTTTAAATCTCATTCGGCAATTTGCGGTCATTTTTCGTGGTTTGTCTAGGCTATTATGTTATCGATTGCAGTTCTTATCGGAATGACTTTGTCGGAAGGTGAATGCACCGAGCCTGCAATAAATTAGGTTGAGCTTCCATGCCCCTTATAGCGCGAATAACCGACTATAGTCGAGAAATTAAGTATGCTTGCATGCCGTAAGCTCAACACGCTAGCGATTCGCGTGTCGTAATCGTGGCAGCATTAATTAACTCGGAAACGATGTCATATACTTCGTAGAATTTCGAATGCTGTTACTCAATCCGGTCGGAAAACAAATGCACTTTTGCTGCATGTGGTACCGCAATTTATTTGGCTTAGAAAAAGGTACATTGCATTCAAATTGAGTATATTTAAATTACATGTAAATTATACATTTAAATTACGCGTTATGGAAAATTACAAAAGAATAAAATCGGAAAAATAAAATTTTATTTGATAAAAATAAAAATTTGTTAGCAGAAGTAGTTAGAGTATTTATTTTACACTGTCGTGCATATTTCTCCTCGTATTATTGAGAACATTTACTAAATATTTGCATTTTGCTGGTTGAAATTCTTTTCATAATAAAAATGCATTATTTACAATTTACATTTTATGGTAAACTTTTGCAACGCGAGAAATAAATAAGAAAAAAAGTATTTTGGTTGACAGATTTGTTTAAATTACTTTAGATTGAGCCTAAAGTTTAATTATACTCAATTTATAATTGCATTGGATTTCAAGAATATTAACAATTAATTAATGTTTTTTTTTCACAAATATTATTATGTTAGAAACAATCTAAGAAGAATACACTTTATTTAATGACTTAAATCTAATAAATTGGCATTGCATCGTATATTGCAAACAATACGTTTAATTGATAGATTGTAAACTGCACAAAAATAGTTAATTAAATCTCATTTATTTCTCCTAATAAAATTCTAGATTAGTATCGTTCACGATGTATGAAATATATTTATGTCAGAAAGACATTGGTAAAAGAATCTTATCTTTCAATTGATTCTCCGCATAAACTATCACTGAGAATCATTTTTCGCTATCTGAGACTCCGTACTTTTAATCCAGTTTCGATTCAGAAATTAATTGAAGAGTAATAAATTAACACCATAGTACTATTGGGTATTAAAAATTTCCTTTGATATTTGAAATTCCCATCGGATGTAATTCATAAAGGTACTTCCTTGAGAAAAGTTTAAGGTTAATAAAAGATTTCAATTCTCGAAAGATATGTAGTGAAGGAAATTTACATGAAAAAAGGCCGGAAGGTTTCGCAAAGTTTATTGAAACATGAAGAAGTTAAAGAGAACATCTTGTTCAATCATTTATTCTTCATCATTTTTTTTAAATGAACTGAATCTTCTCTCTTCTTATAAAATATTCATATGATAACTTTTTAAAGTAATATTAAGAAAGTATATAGCATTGAAAAGTAACAGGACGAAAGGATATTAAACGGCATTATATTATAAAGAGTGATATATTAACAGTATTTGAATTTTAAAAGTGCTATGATGATCAAAGAGTAGAGATAAGCTATATCACCTACCTAAGTCTCACGAGAGCCTCTCGTTAATTCTTAGCATAGATATATACTGAGTATCGATCTGCCACGTTTCTATGCGGAAATATAAGACGGATCGAACCGAGAGCAACCTCGGCAAAGCCACTCTTTCAACCTACTTATCCACTACTATTTATAATATAATATTCATTGTGCTGTTTGCATACTTTTTCTTATGCAATTAAATTATTCATGCGTGGTCAATTATCGGTCAAAGATCTTTCGATTTTTGCGTCAATATAATCGAAACCGTCATTATCCAATTCTCTTTACTCACCAAAGATGAACATCAAGATAGGCACAGTGGACAGACAGGTCAGACATATGGTGAATGTCATCGTCTTGCTGATGACTCTCAAGGCGCGAAAGACGAAATCGCAGATACCGTTTGCCTCTAGATGAGCGTCTTTCAGCTGAAATACGACCGAACCGTAAGTCGCAACACCGAGATTCGCGGTTTCCGCATCGCCCTTTTCAGGTGCCTTCGCACCGCTGGCGCAAAGCCGTCGCGACTCGTCGCCTGAAAGCTGAAAGCACACAAGACAGCTCAAATCAGATTTTCTCTCGTAATATAATACAATCTTGTTTTGACTGACAAGTTTATTCTGATTAATATACGCGCGACGTTAGACCGTATATATACCATACTATGGAAACGACTTGATAAAACTATAAAACGGAGGTATTTCAGTACTCATTCCTTTATCTTATTGTAATTTTATTTTACTAACATTATTTTCATTTTTTTTTTAAATTTTATTCTCATTACTTTGTATTAGTGTGCTGTACTGCGCTGTGTACCACTTTGTCTGCATTTTGCTGATTACAAAGTAATCCAATTAGCGACGGAGCAAGAGCGGTTTTTTCCGTCTTTCGCTAAAAACCCATGTTAACCAACACGCTCGTAATAGAGAAAGAAAGAAAAGAAAATTTAACAGCAGAATCCAGATTTTAAAAGCGATGCAAAAGCGATTCAAAGATTTTCTCAAAAATCATTCTGAAGCAATTCACATTTTTTTTAATGAATGAAAATTTAATATTCAAATTATAAAAGTGATAAAGTCATTCAATTAATAAGAAATGCAAAATGTAGTACTTTTTATATTTTAAAATTTGACAGTACGGATTAATTATTTATCGGTGACGAAAATCGAAACGTCGCGCAGATTTTGTATATACAAAGGATCAATTTATATTCCGTTTACCACTCGTACAAGGTGGATCCAATAAGCGATAGTAAAAAGCACGAGCGCAGAGCCTTGCCGTACGGCTGCTGACACGTCTCTTATTTCTCACCGTCGATTCTCGCTCTACATCGTACGAAATTGATCTTTTGAGAGGTCCTCGGCTAGCATGCACACATCTCAAGCAGGGTTTTCGCGCGGGAAATAAGCAGCGGATGTGATCTGTGTAGGAGAAATTTAAGCTGTCACGAACAGAGTACGCTCGTACCTTTGATATGTCCCACACATATTTTCGCACTTTAATTTTCACACCGCGAAATTGCAGCATGCATTTTTTAACAAATTTCAACCATTCGCACATCAGCTTTATCATAAATATGTTATTATGATGAATCCTGTTATTTATTGTCGAATTAAAATGCATCAGTCATTGGTTATTTCTCGAATAAATTTTATATATTTATAGTTTATAAATATATATAGAGTATCCTAAATTTTTTGATCAATTTCGATATATGTATGTATACATATACAATTATGTGAATAAAAATTCGAAATTGATCAAAGATTTAGAATACACTCTGTACATTTTTATTTTCAATATTGATAATTTATTTTGCTTTAAAATCAGAAATGAAAGATAGTGTACAAAGAAATATAAATTCTTTCGGACTCATTAAGGTTTTCCGAGTAAAAGGGCAAAGGGCAAAGCTCGAGAAATAGAGGCGTGGAGAATATATCGTGACGAAGCTACCGGTAGTAGTATCGTTACTTACTACCTCGCGTGCATTGTAGCAACATATCGTGCCAACCTGTGTCTGTACCGGAAACCAGTCCGGAATGCAATTTTAGATCGTGTTATTTTTCTAAGAGAGAGAGAGGACCTTCTTTTTCGTTGACAGATAGTAATATACGAATTGGAAGTATTTTTCTATATTTTAATTAGAGTTAATTAACTTTGTATGTTATATATTACGTGTGATTTTATAATTTGACACTTCAAAATGTACTAATCTCAGGGTAATTAAGTCGTCTGTTTTCTTATAACATCTATTCTACAAGGTTTCCAACATTTTTCTGTTTTTGTAATCAAACTTAAACGAATTTTATAAAAATAAAAATGGAAAAGAGTTGCGAAGCCGACGTCTCTAAAGCAATAACGAAGAAAATTACTTTAAAATTTTTATGAAGATAAACGCGAGAGGTTAAGCGACGAGGGAAAAAACAGGAAATAACGCCTCTACACGAGTTCACGTTACATTCAATCGAATTTTAATACGGTGAAAATATATTTGACAAAACGCAATATATTTTCTAAAAATAATGTATTATTATATTGTAATATAATAATGCGATTATATAAAGAGAATTAAAAAAAATTTTAAAGGATAACAAAAGGAAAATGATATAGTAATGTATATCTATGTATATAACGGTAATAATAACATAATATTTTCTGTAATGATATAATAGCATAATACTCATACTGAAATAATACAATTACAATAAGTTGAATCAAACTCGGAGAGTCCGTATCCGAAAAAAGTTTTCATCCTTTCTTTCTCTCAACTCGTGGTTTAGAAAAGTTGCCTTGTTAGCGGAGTTAACGGAGAAAAAGTGTCGTAGTTTTTTTGTCTGCATTCGTTTCACGTCGTCGTAGTAATCACTACACTACGAATGATACATAACAAAGATATCCTGTCAGATTATTCGCGTGTATATACATATCTGTTCAGTCAGAAAAGTGGCACGTCTTTCAAGTTGCATTTCACGGCATTGGTAATGCAACTGGAACGTAACGGCGGAAAGAAAATTCCTCGAATATTGCAGATCGGAAAATGGCAATGAGCGCGATATAAAAGAAGGCACAGTTACCTGCGAAACGGAACTGCTGGCTCGCCTGGAATCAGCCCAGGCGTTTGTCCCATATCCCAGATTGACCTGTGCGGCTCCGCTTCCGCCCGATCTGACACTTCCCGAGCTCACTTCTCTTTGGCGATAAGGCGAGGAACTTCGGTTTCTCGTGCTCCCTGGACAGACGCAAATATTTGAATTTCTCGACATCCCTTCAAAGCTCCGCTTAATCTTGCGCGATGTCTCTCTCTCTTCCTGTATTTACGGCTATATTTATGTACGGCAGAAATACTCTTGCATAGATAAAGAAATTGCAAAAGCAAGTCACGCATTTCAAACTTATTGACAATGTATCCACGTCTATATCTTCTATCGGTTTCAAATTTCTTTTCTGTAATTGGGTATGTGTAACGTATTTTGAATTTCTTGAATTATGCAAAATTTTACATAAATTTTATATTTTTTAAATATAACATCGATAAGATTGTAATACAATTTTATTTATATTTGTTTGAATTTTTTATTACTCTATTAATTTCCGATTTTGTTTGTTTTGATGTGTTTGTAATTACAATGAATATTAGATAACTGTACGTAGTTATGAACTCTGGACAATGCCCTAATTAACAATGCTAGCATGTGATCTAATTTATATTCTCCTCTCACATGTTCTGCACGAATTTCGCCTGTTGTAAAGAGACTACATGTACTGCAAACTCAGACGATGAGATATCTTTGTCAACAAGCTTCCGCGTAATGCGTGCTGCTTCGTGCGATAAATCCGCGCTTTCAATTTACAGAATACGAATCCCATCTGCTGGAGAGATTTCGATTATTGCGCCGTTCCTCGCAATTCGCCGCGAAATTTATCGACTTCGCCTGTGCCTACCTAACTTATAGTAAAGAGGCCAATCTCGTATCGTATCGATCTTATACGAATAAAATTACGTAAATTCTGAGCGATAGAAATGTAAGGAAGCATTTTATATAATATTTGCATATAATAAGAATTACTGTAATAAATATAACATTTGAAAAATAATTGCAAAATTATCAAATATTATAATGAATTATTCATTTAGTATTTGCATTTGTATTTTGTTTCAGAAAATCCAAGGAGAAACACCCTGCCGATTTCGCCGATTATGGACACACGCAATCTCTTTTCGCAGTGCGAAGTAGGTAAGTGCGAATATATATTAGACATATATTTTTCGATTTCGTGACTGATGCTAATTTGGAAATTGTTAAACATTAATAAGCATTATGCACGCGCGACAAAATCAGGCAATATTTGCACAACCGAAACATCAATGTACATACATATGATGTTAATTATCGCTGGAGTAAATGCTCCTCATTTGCCTTGTATTTGATTTCGCGCTTTTATTACAGCATCAAAAAAATTTGTAACATCAAAAAAAAGTTTTAATATAAAAAAATGATCAATCTGTTCCAAAAAAATTAACGACGAATAATTCTTGCAAAATACATATTACCATCATGTATATGCAAAACACGTGTTGTATGTTTCGCATAGTCTAATGTATCGAATATTTTAACATTGCAGATGTCGGATCCGTGATAAAATCTGTGACGAGTCGGGAGCGCCGAATTTAATAGCGACGAACGAACGTTTCGATCTACCTATTGGATTACGCGGTCGGGCAACTCGCGATTATTTAAAATCGACGTTCGTCGCTTCGCGAATATATCTGTGACAAGTCGGGAGTGTCGAATTTAATAGCGACGAACGAACGTCTCGATCTATGCCTATTGGATTACGCGGTCGGGCAACTCGCGATCATTTAAACTCGACGTTCGTCGCTTCGCGAATTCGTGTCAGTTTGAGTGTTCGTCGTACAATTTGTGATATGTGTCGAGGATATCTTCCAACATTGTAGGGTTGATTGCGAGACGATGATGCATCGGCTGGTGAGTCTATCAATTATTTATTTTATTCATTTATTAATATTTATATATCTAACTGAATATTGTGAAAAATTAAATAGCCAAAAAAATTTGTAACATGAAAAAAGTTTTAATATATAGAATTATCAATCTGTTTCAAAAATATTAACGACGAATAATTTTTGCAAAATACATATTACCATCATGTATATGCAAAACACGTGTTGTATATTTCGCATAGTCTAATGTATCGAATATTTTAACATTGCAGATGTCGGATCCGTGATAAAATCTGTGACGAGTCGGGAGTGCCGAATTTAATAGCGACGAACGAACGTTTCGATCTACCTATTGGATTACGCGGTCGGGCAACTCGCGATTATTTAAAATCGACGTTCGTCGCTTCGCGAATGTATCTGTGACAAGTCGGGAGTGTCGAATTTAATAGCGACGAACGAACGTCTCGATCTATGCCTATTGGATTACGCGGTCGGGCAACTCGCGATCATTTAAACTCGACGTTCGTCGCTTCGCGAATTCGTGTCAGTTTGAGTGTTCGTCGTACAATTTGTGATATGTGTCGCGGATATCTTCCAACATTGTAGGGTTGATTGCGAGACGATGATGCATCAGCTAGTGAGTCTATCAATTATTTATTTTATTCATTTATTAATATTTATATATCTAACTGAATATTGTGAAAAATTAAATAGCGAAAAAAATGTGTACCATGAAAAAAGTTTTAATTTACAGAAATTATCAATCTGTTTCAAAAATATTAACGACGAATAATTCTTGCAAAGTACATATTATCATCATGTATATGCAAAACACGTCTTGTATATTTCGCATAGTCTAATGTCTCAAATATTTTAACATTGCAGATGTCGGATCTGTGATAAAATCTGTGACGAGTCGGGAGTGCCGAATTTAATAGCGACGAACGAACGTCTCGATCTACCTATTGGATTACGCGGTCGGGCAACTCGCGATTATTTAAAATCGACGTTTGTCGCTTCGCGAATGTATCTATGACGAGTCGGGAGTGTCGAATTTAATAGCGACGAACGAACGTCTCGATCTATGCCTATTGGATTACGCGGTCGGGCAACTCGCGATCATTTAAACTCGACGTTCGTCGCTTCGCGAATTCGTGTCAGTTTGAGTGTTCGTCGTACAATTTGTGATATGTATCGCAGATATCTTCCAACATTGTAGGGTATTGCTAGACGATGATACATCGGCTGGTGAGTCTATCAATTATTTATTTTATTTATTTATTAATATTTATATATCTAACTGAATATTGTGAAAAATTAAATAGCCAAAAAAATTTGTAACATGAAAAAAGTTTTAATATACAAAAATTATCAATCTGTTTCAAAAATATTAACGACGAATAATTCTTGCAAAATACATATTACCATCATGTGTATGCAAAACACGTGTTGTATGTTTCGCAGTCTAATGTATCGAATATTTTAACATTGCAGATGTTGGATCCGTGATAAAATCTGTGACGAGTCGGGAGTGCCGAATTTAATAGCGACGAACGAACGTCTCGATCTACCTATTGGATTACGCGGTCGGGCAACTCGCGATTATTTAAAATCGACGTTCGTCGCTTCGCGAATGTATCTATGACGAGTCGGGAGTGTCGAATTTAATAGCGACGAACGAACGTCTCGATCTATGCCTATTGGATTACGCGGTCGGGCAACTCGCGATCATTTAAACTCGACGTTCGTCGCTTCGCGAATTCGTGTCAGTTTGAGTGTTCGTCGTACAATTTGTGATATGTATCGCAGATATCTTCCAACATTGTAGGGTTGATTGCGAGACGATGATGCATCGGCTGGTGAGTCTATCAATTATTTATTTTATTTATTTATTAATATTTATATATCTAACTGAATATTGTGAAAAATTAAATAGCCAAAAAAATTTGTAACATGAAAAAAGTTTTAATATACAAAAATTATCAATCTGTTTCAAAAATATTAACGACGAATAATTCTTGCAAAATACATATTACCATCATGTGTATGCAAAACACGTGTTGTATGTTTCGCAGTCTAATGTATCGAATATTTTAACATTGCAGATGTTGGATCCGTGATAAAATCTGTGACGAATCGGGAGTGCCGAATTTAATAGCGACGAACGAACGTCTCGATCTACCTATTGGATTACGCGGTCGGGCAACTCGCGATTATTTAAAATCGACGTTCGTCGCTTCGCGAATGTGACGAGTCCGAATTTAATAGCGACGAACGAACGTCTCGATCTACCTATTGGATTACGCGGTCGGGCAACTCGCGATTATTTAAAATCGACGTTCGTCGCTTCGCGAATGTATCTATGACGAGTCGGAAGTGTCGAATTTAATAGCGACGAACGAACGTCTCGATCTATGCCTATTGGATTACGCGGTCGGGCAACTCGCGATCATTTAAACTCGACGTTCGTCGCTTCGCGAATTCGTCGTGTCAGTTTGAGTGTTCGTCGTACAATTTGTGATATGTATCGCGGATATCTTCCAACATTGTAGGGTTGATTGCGAGACGATGATGCATCGACTGGTGAGTCTATCAATTATTTATTTTATTTATTTATATATCTAACTGAATATTGTGAAAAATTAAATAGCCAAAAAAATTTGTAACATGAAAAAAGTTTTAATATACAGAAATTATCAATCTGTTTCAAAAATATTAACGACGAATAATTCTTGCAAAGTACATATTGTCATCATGTATATGCAAAACACGTGTTGTATATTTCGCACAGTCTAATGTCTCAAATATTTTAACATTGCAGGTGTCGGATCTGTGATAAAATCTGTGACGAGTCGGGAGTGCCGAATTTAATAGCGACGAACGAACGTCTCGATCTACCTATTGGATTACGCGGTCGGGCAACTCGCGATTATTTAAACTCGACGTTCGTCGCTTCGCGAATTCGAGTCAGTTCAAGTATTATGATATATGTTGCGGATATCTTCCAACATTGCGGGATTGATTGCGAAACGACAATGCATCGGCCGGTGAGTCTATTAATTGTTTATTTTATTCATTTTATATATATATATATATATATATATATATATAATTGAATATATTACGAATTAAATAGCCACATAGTCATTAACTTCTTTGTAATTAAATATCAACATATATCTCGAATGTCTTAAAATCGCGCGAATATATAATGTGTATAGTGGAAATATCAAATTGAACAACGGATAATCGTCTACTTATTATCTGCCCTTCCTCTTTTTTCGCAATTATTTATAATCGGTGTTCATCGCTTCATTCGTGCGAGTGTTAATCGCGAAACACTCTAACACGCTGAAGTGCATACATTAAATAAGAGACCAGTTTGCATAGGTTTGCCTAAGTTGAATTTCGAGACTTACAATTTAATACTACCACATCAAAAACATATAAGTTTTTGAGCTATCAATAGAGCATTAGATCTCTAATTATAATATTATATTTAAATTTAATTTCCTAATCTTGATAAAAATATAATGTGTCTCTTCATTCGACTAATACAATTATCACCACTAAAAATTGAATTTTTGTTAAAAAAGTTGATAAATTAATCTTAAAATATTAGGGCAAAACGGGGTAAAATTAATCTGCTCGAAAATTATTTTTATATTATCTAGGTTATCCTCTAATTTTTCTAATTTAGAATATCATGCTATATTTATAATTGTGTATACAATGATATTATCGATCGAAAGTCGATTGAAAATATTTTTCATCCATCTGAAAATTGCAATAAATTTCACTGGACGGGCAAAATTAGCCTGTCCTATTATAATTTATTTATTATAAATTTAACTGTCCAAGTATAAAGAGAAAATTAAAGGAAAGAATAGAAAAGCGCGCGTTGCTTTTAATAGCGGCTCTGTGAATGTTATCGGATTGTTCTCAACTTGACGATATTATTTTACACTACTTGACAAATCGTTCTTTCCATTTCTGCATGATGTGCTATTTCGAAGCATGAATGGCTGTCGTATCTATGAAAAGAGTATCGGGTGTACGACATCGTATGGCAATTGAGAGTGTATACGCGCAAGAATGTATCGCTCGGCAATCAATTTCCGCCACTCGAGATATATTATCCGCATCTATCGCATTCGATATGCCTCGGGCTTGCCAAGTGAAACGAACGAAACCTAATCGGTCTCTCCGGAGACCTGACGTCGAGTTGTACAGTAATGAGCGTCAAATTGCTATTGCAATCCCGGAGGAGATATGCTACCTTGAGGCAAATTTTCAATCCTTAAATGCGAGGAATAATCGCGTGAAATTTTATAAATTTTGAATATTTTTATGCCATTTTTTCTTATTACATATATTACATATTAGCAGGATACTTCTACTCAGTACACTATTTGACAAGCATCGATTTTTAATATTTATCAATTTCAAACATATATAAAATATATATGCTGTGAAATATATATATAATATGAAGGCTCGTGCAAGTTTATTATTTTTAACGTCATTAATAATCCTGCAGGATTGTTAATGACATTAAAAAGAAAAGTACTTTTGCGCAAGAATATTTCGCTGCAGGATTTTAACGACATTTTTTTACTTATAACTATAATTTCTCTCGAGCTAATTAAATAGATAATTGTTTAATTTTGCTATGGTATGATTGACATATTCGTAAGCGTATTATTTGGGGGGAATATCTAACCGCATTTATAGCAAACACAAATGTTTCCTCGCACATTGTGCTACGTTTCACCACGACACTATAATTTCGTGAGGAAGGTTATGCATTGATTTCAGTACTCGAACACAGAGCGTTGCGGTTTGAATATGTCCAAGGACCACATATTCGCGGTAGTTTGCGTATCAAAGTTACGCATCATCGGTTGTGATGCAGAGAAACGAATCCTCAATAATCTCATCATAATTTTGTGCATTTAATTGTGCCGTAATAGAAAAAAATCAGCCCCAACTCGAAGTTTCTTCCTTATAGTATAATAGAAATTCTAATTATTTATAGAGATCAAAATAATTATTTATTAATTATTTATAGATTAGAAAAACAGAAAATATATAGAAGAGAAAGAGAGAGATTAATCGAAAAATTCAAAAATTAATAAAGTATTCGAATGATAAAAAATATTTAAAAGAATTTTATATATAGGTATATATATATATTTATTTTGTTTACCTTGATCTGCAGAAGCTCTTCTAGGATCTTGTAAACCCAAGTTGCCTCGTGGCGCTCTTCTATCTTGATGCCCACCGAGACTCCCCCTAGGACTCCTATCGATCCCTTCAGGCCCAATGCTCCCTCTGGGACTTCTACTCTCGTCGTCGTTAATCGCTCCAAGAGAACCCCTCGAATGTCTATCAACGTCGTTTACACCTATGCTGCCGCGAGGCGACCGATTCGTCTGATCGTGCGGCACGATCGATCCTCTCGGGCTCCTGTTACTCTCCGGACATATCGATCCACGCGGAGACCGATTCGCGGGGTCTGGCGCTATCGATCCTCTGGGCGATCTGTTGGGATCTGGTGCGATCGAACCGCGGGGACTCTGATTCAGGCACTCGGAGGCTATCGAACCGCGGGGACTTCTATCTACATCCATCGGCGTGATACTTGCTCTCGGTATTCTGTGCACGTCCGGACAAATCGAGCCGCGCGGACTTCGATCGAAATCCAGATTCGCCATGCTGCCGCGCGGACTCCTCGTCGAGTCGGGTACCAACGAGTGCCTGGGGCTACGGATAGCAGCCGCGAGTGCGTTACCATTTTCCGGTAGCAAAGAAATCCTAGACGAGCCGATCGCTATGCTGTTTCGCGGACTTCGGTTGTAAGTTACGTCCGGTACAAGCGAATTCCTGGGACTGAGCGACGAGTCCGGCACCAGCGAGTGACGCGGACTTAACGCTACTTCCGGCGTGAGGCTACATCGCGGTGAACGCACCACATCGGGTACTAGACTGTTTCGCGGGCTCCTGTTGGAATCCGGTATGAGAGAACCCCGCGGGCTTCTACAGTAATCGTCAGGTATCAGAGAATTTCGTGGGCTGCGGCTTGCCTCGGGCACCAGAGAGTTGCGACTGGCGCCATACTGTTCGAGATCTGGCAAAATTCTGCGACTGATTCCCTGAAATAAATCGTAGAGATATTCTAAAACACACTGTCTTTTCGATCTATTTCATTATTGACAAAGTAGAGGGAACACGGAAAGTTATCGAAACAGAAAAATCTCAATTTTCAACTTTAAATTTCATTTTAAATTTTTATTCAGAAAGATCGCGATATAATTCGCTTTCTTATTTTTACATAAATTAGCTTTGTCGGGAAGATTACAAGAAAGTAAATTTACTCGTCGCTTGTTTCTCCACAAAATGAATTTCTCATTAAGTATGTATTTACATTAATTGATTTTTGCTTTTATTCGAAATTATATTAAAGATGTGTGCATAAATATTATCATTCATATCTCCACGATGTATCTAGTTTAATTAACAGAGAGACAAATTTATCTGTGAAAGCAAAGCCACATGCTCGCGAAACATGTCGAAACGCTCGATTGAATTGAATGGATTTTAATCATTTTAACGATCATAGTGTAAAGCCAACCGGTAGCTTTCAAACGCAAACCTACATTGCGTACCAATCATCCGCTAATGAATAACATGTGATAGCAATCTATCTGCCGTGAAAATTTCATGACGTCAAAATTTTGTGGATAAAATGATATAGAAAACGCGTGACAAAAAGCTTGTATTTGGTTTCATCAATGAGTACGCTTACATTAAACATACAATCGCGCATATTCTCTCAATAATTGAATATTCCGTATAATATAGCATTTCCCGAGAGAGAGAGAGAGAGAAAACAAATAAAAAACATAGGAAAACGATTTTCTGCATTTTTTAAGCAAATTCGGCCGACTGAGAATCTCACAATTGATTGCATTTATTAGTTACACTCTACATAACCACTAGTAAAAATATTTGCCGAGTTAAATTGCTCAAATTATTCCCGACGGTTTTAAAAATCCAGGCACAGCCCCTTATATATATCTATATATATATATTCAAACAATTTCCCAGGGAAAATAAGCTTTTAAATTTACAATCCTCCGTCTTATAGATGTACATATATCAAGACGAAATTCAGGGTCTACTGTATACCAATGTAATACCGGCAGGAAATTATGTATATAACGAAATTATACAGGAATTCGAGAGAAAGAGAAATATAAGAGGGTGAATACTAACCTCATCAGGGGAGTCACTCTCAGTATCCAGAGCGATATTCGGGACCATGCTACCCCTCGGCGATCTCTGTCTTTCCATCGCTTCGCCGGGGCTGCTTGGCAAAATGAGAGGCTTTTCGGTAGCGACGCTTGCACGTCGACCTCGCATCGTCGAAGACACCCCTACCGGCTGGCTCGAGTTAGCCACGCTTGGCGACGCTCGTCGGCGCCGCGACGAAGCGCTTCGGTGTAACATCACGGTGACATTCTCTTACCCCTGTCACACAATATAATTTTTATCGTTATCATTCATCAAGTATACATATATCTCAATCTCGTTATCGATAAATATTCTATAAATATTTACAAAAAATCATTAGCATAAATTAATATGAATCGCTACACTGAAAAAAAATGTCGTTGCATAACAAATATTCTGTTCAAAAATGGGCGAAACAGAATTACTGCGGTTGAATATCTGCGGTCAGAATTCCTTTTAGTATAACAAGTATTTTGTTTGCGCAAACAACTGATTTGTTATGCAAACAAGATGCTTGTTGTATTAAAAGGAATTCTTTGGTAGATTTAATAACATAACCAGTAATTCTGTTTCGTCCATTTTATAATAGAATTTTTGTTAATATAACATTTTTTTCCAGTGTATTAGTAATTCGAATGGAATACTTTTCTATGGAAGAAATATACTAAATAAGATATTTAATAAATAAAAAATATGTTACGAGTTACTTTATATATTGTAGAATATATTGAAATAACTCATTATATTAATTAAATGAGAAGCACGACTTTTACTTTTGAGTAGCTTGTTAATTTCCGATTAATGCAATGTCTGACAGAAACTTTGGGTTTTTTGTATCTTTGCAATGAAAAAAAATGTTTTACTTTATAATACGAACCCGCATCATTAGCATAATGCATAATACACTTAAAAATCCTTTGAAAATTATTCGCGTAACAAAAATTAAAAATTAAAAAAACGCGACAATATATAAATTTCATTGCTTTGTTTTTCTTTTGAAAATACATAAAAAATCGCACACATCGAGATAATTAAAATTACCGTATAAAAGGTCATCTCAATACGTTATTATATAATGATATTATATAATTTAAATGATTAAAAAATATTTTAAAATAAAAATACAAAAATTTAAAACAAATTCTGTGAGTTAGGCCATTCTTTTGTAATTGCGCGCACTATCCACACGTTTAATATAATACATGTATACATCTAATTAACTACATCCTAAATAATCAATTAAATGCCCAATTGGGATTTCCTAGAACATCCTTCGTAAATATACGCTGCCAGGATAGCTTCTACCAGGAAGATGACCCAGATAAGTGCACAGTTCGGTTTGATGCATTATATTACACCCCCTTAATTCCTCGACCCTTAACTACGACATGCATTTTGATGTTCCGTTAAGAGCGTGTCTCATCGCTCTTCTCTATATAGGACGTGCATATATTATTATTGATCGCGATTAATTTACGGCCGGATATTGCACGTCGCGAAAATGAACAATACGCGATAACAGAAAATCTTTCATACCAAGTACAACGTACAAAAATATATTACGCAATTCAATTTAAATAATGCATATACATGTATTTCGATTAAAACGTACGAGTATCAGTTTATATGATTATTTATTTACCAAAAGTTATAATAAAACAGAATAATAACTAGGAAATTAAACACCTGTTTATTCACATGTTCTGTAATTAAACAAGAAATGCGAAGGCGCGCGAATACGAAAGGACATGTATTCGGAAAATATAACCATCGTCAACGTGGATGAATGATCGATATCGTTAATTGTTTTGTCGAACGCAATCGACACGATGAATAAAACTTGTTTGTATTTTATACAATGTCTGGCAGATAAATTCGGCAGAATTGCGATAAAAACTTTATTGAGAGAGAGAAAGAGAGATGTTTTTTTTTGTATGTGTCACATACATATATATTTAATAAATAAAAAGTAATATAATTTTTGTTAACAACTGAAATGATACATTTTTAATTGGGTAATAATTTAACTCCATTAGTAATATCCATATAAAAGTTAAACAAATATAATATACTAGTAAGATGTCTTTTTTCTTGTGTTATGTCAATCTCACAAATTATTTCTATGTAGTTTTTATGTAAATGGATCCCTATGGAAATTTTCGCATAAATATAATTTATAGGACATCTTTGAAATGAGTCTGCAGCGCGTAAATTATTGAATACTTTTATTGCAGTCTCTAGCATTTTATTACAGCGTAGCTTCTACATCGCTTTGATACAAATAATCTGTATTAGAAAGATCATAATAATTCTCAGTAACTATCTTTTAGCAATTTCATAAAATCTACCGGTGAAATTCAGTCAGAAATTCGGATTCAGTGGATATGCGTTTCTCATGATTAAAATAAAAAGTGGCTTGAAATCTAATCACGAAAAACTTTTCGCACTAAATGTAAGATGATTCTTGTGCAACTCTCCAAACAGAATTGCGATTTTTGGAGGAAAGTTTTTGACAGAAATTTCACGGTAAAATATCTCATGCGAAAACAAAGATCGCATGTAAGAGCGCTGTCTGCCTACACGTTTTCCTTATCTACTGCGCAAGCCACTTAGACCATGTGTGTATATACAACCAGATGTATACATTTTCGAGATGTGCAAAGCTTCTATATAGACATGCATTTTGTATGCTAACATTTCTTGTCAAGATACACCTCCGCGGTCTTTGTCTCTTTGCTCGAAGTTTTAACAAAGACTACTATCGAGTAACCTCGTAAATCTACGAATATAATCAAAGTATACGCGACACACAATAGAATTTCAAAGTGAGACTTTCGTAATTCAGCGACCTCAGAGGAAACTGTCGACGTCGTTACCATATCATGCAAGAACGACACGTTTGTTCAGCGGCACCGTTCGATGAAAACGCTGAAAACATTTCGCTGACATTTAATAGTTATGACGTGCGCTTGTTATTTTATCGCCCACGTGAGAGTCTTTCTGCGTTAAGTCAACTTCGCAATTCTCGCATCGTCGCAAGATTATATATATGTGTTATATCAACGTCGGCATTTTCCTCGGACTATGCGATTACATCGACAAGTTCACGATTACATCGACAGTTAAGTCAGTTTGCGTAAGTTTCAAGGATACTCAACCAATCAATGTTCTATTGATATTGATTGAGTAACGCGAGTAATTAATAATATACACGATGGTGCATTGCAACATGCTGTTATCACGATATTTTGCGATTACACAAATCATGTCCAAATTAATTAATTTGAATACACTTAAATATAGCATTGTGCTTTAATGGACTGCGAAATGCACAGGTTAACTATTAGTGCCAAATTACACAAAAACAGAATTAGAAAGTTAATTATTTTGCTCTACATTATTTTTGTTATCAAATAAAATTTGGTACTTTTTAATTTAATAACCAAATAAAATGTAACGCTATCAAAATTTATAAAGCTAAAAACATAGTAAGGCTTTTCTTCGCGTAAAATAAATTTTGAAATATTTCTAAAAACTAATCATAATAAACATAACCGCAATAATACACATTACAACAGTGCAACAATATTAATTGTATCTAACAACATTCAGAATAATTACCTATTTAAATGCAGTAATGCGTTAATGGACCATAAAATAAGCCGACAAAATAACATCAACAAATATTCCTATTTGTTAAATATGAAGAGTAATTTATCGAACCGCATGAAAATTTGTTGCGAATATGATTTCAAAAAATTTCGTTTTATTCCGATCGGAAAATGGCGTGGGAAAACGCGTAGGATGCAACTAATCATGTATTCTTCCAAGTTTTTAGAGGAATATAAAAACAGTTAATAAATATAAAAAAACATCACTAAAAAAAGCGTAACTTCTATAAATTCTCGAGGAAAATTCCATCGCGCGAGATACATGAATTTTTCCAATAAAAAAAGAAGAGATATATATAGAAACATTTGACGACATCGGAAATATCCATTAAATGTCTGATATGTTGAGAATCACGGCTGGAACGACAAAGTACTGAAAGTTAATTAATCGGAGCATACAGAGCGCGGTCAATTATTTGTCGCGATACTTCGATAAATCGACTCTCCGTTGTAGGCCAAGCCATATTTTACTCGTTCTACAAGCCAGTTACGGCCATCTGGCACGAACAGTCTTATACTACTTGTGAACCAGAATGTATGTATCTATGATACTTGCTGCATCTAAATTACGCTGCGAAGATTAATTTTGCGTATTCACGACGGATCGCAAGAGGCGATCCAAGAGGTTCGCATACGTCCATTACTGCTTAATCTCTTAGAACATAATTACCATGTCGTATCACATGCCTGAAGAGACATATGAATTATTAAGTGAACAAGGAACGGCATTAATGAAGATAGAATGCGACGCGAGTTCGAAACGAATGTTCTCTGATCTCTCTTTCCGCATTTCTCTCGTGAAATTGAAACTTCTACGCGGTTCGAGTTCTTAAGTTATTGAATGCTTAATGCCGAGTGTGACAATTAAACTTCGAGGTGAAATGCATTCAGTGTACGTATATGGCAAATGTATCATTGCGCGAGAAAGTTTCACAGTAGTTATACATATTAGTTTAAATTATTAAAACCAAATTAAAAGATCAACTTCAGATTGACATCCGTTACATTTATTACAATTTTTATATTCACGCCAGTAATAAAAATGTGCCATGCTGATGATTTTCTAATAATATTTTCAAGAGTTCTATACGTACATTATAAAATTAATGTTAAAGAGTTTTGGTCACATTAACTATTTTTTAAATAATTTTCGACAATTATATTCAGCACGAAGTTTTCACTTATGTGCTGTGCATGGATATTAAGAATGGATTAAAAATTATTAATTAATGAAATATCAATCTGAAAAGTTACAGATTGATCTTAAACAAAACTATCGAATATTTTAAAGGAGAGGGTATATCGTGTTAGGTTCGCGAAGTTAGCATGACATATTTTCAATTTGATTTTTTAATATAAGGGTTGCGGAACTTCATTAATTTTTATCAAGAACTACGAAAAGTACTATTAGAACTAGAACTTTTAGTATTTTTTTTTAATTCATAGTGTCGCACCAATAACTTCACAGACGCTACTTTTGATTTCTTATTCAAGTTATTAATTATTATTATTGTCATATAGGTTTAAAATTTATCAATCACACAACGGCATAAAATCAATAAAGAA